CCGAACCAGACCTGAGACTTTATCTTTCTCCAATGGTTCCAGACTTCCAAGAGCTATGCAGAGCAAGGCAAGCGAATCCATCGCACTGAGGAAATTTAAACTTAAATCCCTGGAAATATTCATTTTTAGGAGGGGGTTCACGAGATGTCACAATTTAGTGAAAGGGGTTTGCGGGCTGTTAAAGTTTGGGAACCACTGATCTAAGGGCTATCAGCTGTTCTCCCCCATTTCCCTGCTTGTAACTTTTTGGACTGATGTATTATTTAACATGTGCTATATTACATCAAAAATCCATTTCTAAGTATTTCCATGTAACGCATGGCTCATCAAAAAAGTGGCAACAGAGTCAAAGGGCTGTCTAATAAGGACTATATTATTATGACAACATATAAAACACACATTCATTAAAATTATTGAATCTGCATTGTTGTGTCATTCTTATCAATTATGATTTTTAAAATTACGTATTCACATGTTTAAATACCATTATTAAACATATAATGAAAGAAGCATACTTTTGAAATCTCCATCCCCAAATGTCAGTGGATAAGCTCCTGGCTTTTCAATCTTGTACATTTCTTCTATAAAAAGGATTTTGCAATCATTTATTGTGTCTTCCGGGCCTCTGGGGAGGGAAAAAAAAAGTATATTTAATTTGGTTTCTTTGATTCCTGTTGCTATAATTGATAAACCTTGAGGAAGAGCTATAGCTAATAATAAGTCCCAGTTCTGATTTTAAAAATCCATAGAATTTTGGACTGTGATTGTATTTACTTATTGCTCATTTTAAGCTGTCACAACCATTACATGCAGCACTGAATAATTTGATCTAAACTGACAATAATAATTCAACATAACGATATAACTTTTAACAAAGCCAAAACAATTAATAATTTACATTAGCACAAGGTAAATTAAATAACAAGCTAAGGAGTATCGTCATATTGCAGATCAGCTAGTGAAAATATCAAAGGCAGCAACTGATAAAAGAAATACATTCAATGAATGAACTTAAGTTGTTTCTCAAACAGTTTTGTTATCCAAAGTTAGCAATAGCAGACCAGGCAAAATCAAAAGCTTGCAATGGCAGACCAGACAAAATCCAAAACACTCAAGAGGCATTATACATTATAGCAAACCTAAAAGAATCCTTATTGGCAATGATATAATAAAATTATACTGTTAGTGACAATGAATAGTGACTTATAACTAGTGTAATAATATGCACTACTGAACTTAAAAGGGAAGAAAAATAATGTGGTAAATAGTTTAAATTCTCTTTGTACAAAAATCCTTTCATATGTTTTCACTGTCTAAATAGTCAAGTTTCTTTTAAGTTTCACTTTAACGCTGACTTCCTTGGATTTCTAAATGTTTCAGAAAACTAAAGCCCCAAATCCAGCAAGAACACATACAATATGTACTTTACATATTCTTACACCCTTGACCACAGTGGGACTTTTTTGAGAGTGTCACAGTGCACAAACTCCCAATGGTGCACAGCTAGTACTTCAAAGAACAAAACACTCATGTTAAATGAGGTGATGGAGGGCATTAATGAGGAGTAAAGATCAAGATTTTAATCTCATACCTCCTACTCCACTTAATTTTCCCACTCTCCCAACTGATTTTAACTGCCAAGGGTGACTGACAGAAAACTTTAGTCCCTCACTGTGCCAAGATGTCTTTTCAGCTGCTGTTTGTGGATCTCTTGCCACTTTCAATTTTACAATATAAAACTAAATTAGGACTTGTTCACAGCATTACCAATTTAGAGACAAATCCTGCAAGTACTTACTACTGAGCATAGTCCCATTGACTTCAGTGGGCTACACCTATTAAGTGGATACAGGATCAAGCTGTTATACCCAAGACAGCAAGTTAGTTTTCTAATTGTAATTTTTATTTCTCATTATTGAGGGCATCCACTGATCTGGACAAGACTTTATATATTAGACCCGCTCATTCCATCAGTGTGGAGGAAATCTGTGCTCCCTACCCCCATCAGAGTTTAAACTCCCTCTGCTGGACTGCTGCAGCACCATATTCTGAAACTGAAACTAAATAAACAACTTGGTAGAAAATTTTAACAACACTGTAGACACGATTATTAGAATTAAAAGAACAACGCATTTTAATCAAGAACATGGTGATGTGTGTAGGGAGAGTCTATTCAGACATAGGAAGGGTCCTTTCCATGAAAAGAAACAACATTATACTGGCTAGACATTACCTATAGGAATGATCTCTTATTGTTTCTACTTCCTGTGGAGCAAAAGAAACAAATACAAGTTGACATTTTTCTAGAGGGATTCATAGCAATGGACAATGTATGTATTCATGTAATTTTAATTATATTTGCTCGCCTGGTTTAGCTTCAATGAAGCCAAGAATACCAAAAGCTCAATGCAGGAGAAAAAAATCATTATAATGTTTAGGAAAGGAATTGCAAACTTCAAGCAGCCACACTGCAAGTGTCAAAGTATAAAGTTTTATGGTTCTCTGTCCAAAACTCTGAAGAACCTTTTGCAGAGTAACTTTGATGCTTCCAGCAGGCATCTCAGTTGCTGTTTTGCATGTCTGGTATACATTCAATCTGAGCCAAACAGAGACTGAGTATTGAGGCCCTGAAGCACTGTTTGAGACCTCCTATGAAAAACAAACAACGGTAGCGGACTTTCACCACTGACAGACAGATTTTAAAGCTCATTTCATACCAAAAGTGTGATATTCTTTTCGTACTGATACTTGAATGTAGGGCAAAAAAAGAGGAATGAAACAGATGGATTTAATTGGAATTCTGTTCTTATTTTGGTTTTGTATAAGATCAGGAAATGGATTAAGTATCATCTTTTCAAGGAAAAATTGAAAATGGGTTTTTTAATTGAAAAAACTCCCAGTTCAATAACTCTCCTGCCTGAAAGTAATTGCTGTAAGGAAACAAGGAGAGGTTTCCAGTCTAGGATTAAAAGGGGGGTTTTGTATGGTTCTGCTGAAACCAGGCTGAAAGTGCCACGGCAAAGGTCTGCACTCGGAGTAACTGTAGCAGAGCTCCAATTTTGTGGCTCCTCAGAAGTCTCCGTGCACATGGAGCACCTTTTAACATGCAGATTAGTCAATTTACTCATCACCATAATGCAGTACAACAATCAGAGAGAAGCAGCTCAGTGGGTAGCTTCATTTGGAAAAGAAATAATGACCTGGAAGCTGATTCCCTTAGAGGGAGAAAGATTTCTCTCATTGCTGCCCATTTTTTAAAAAACATTTTTATGCATTTATATTTAAAATAAGAGAAGCTTTTCCGAGGATCTAGGTGCCCTAGTAAGTCATTAGAGATACAATACAGTAACTCCTTGCTTAACGTTGTAGTTATATTCCTGAAAAATGTGACTTTAAGCGAAACACTGTTCAGCAAATCCAATTTCCCCATAAGAATTAACGTAAATGGGGGGGGAGGAGTGTTAGGTTCCAGGGAAATTTTTTTCAGACAAAAGAAACACACACACACACACACACAGTATAAGTTTTAAACAAACAATTTAATACTGTACACAGCAATGATGATTGTGAAGCTTGGTTGAGGTGGTGAAGTCAGAGAGTGGAAGAGGGTGGGATATTTCCCAGGGAATGCCTTACTGCTAAATGATGAACTAGCACTCAGCTGAGCCCTCAAGGATTAACATATTGTTAATGTAGCCTCACACTCTACAAGGCAGCACAAATGGAGGGAGGGAAGACAACATGGCAGACAGAGACAGACACACACCCTGGGTGAGAGAGAGAGAGAGAGAGAGAGAGATGTGCATCGCCCCTTTAAGTACGCTGACCCCACTCTAAGTACATTGCCTTTTTAAGTAGATCAGCAAGTCGAAACACCAACTGCTGCCAGCAAGCTCCCTCCATCCTGAGCCCTGTCGTGTCCCCCCCACCCCCCGCTCTATGGAGCTGGGGTAAGAGGGGTGCAGGAGCAGGGGGACATCCTGACATTAGTACCCCTCTTTCCCCCACCCCCACCCCGCACAGCAAACAGGAGGCTCCTGGAAGCAGCTCCAAGGCAGAGGGCAGGAGCAGCACATGGCAGTGGGGGGAGGGACAGCTGAACTGCCCGGCAATTGATAGCCTGCTGGACGGCCGCACAGGGAACTTAGGGGAGCCGGAGCTAATAGGGAGGCTGCCGGTCCATCCTGGTTCCAAGCCCCCACCGGCTAGCTCCAACGGGCTGCTCTTTCTGCACGCAGTGGACAAAGCAGGCGGCTGCCAAACAACGTTATAAGGGAGCATTGCACAACTTTAAACGAGCATGTTCCCTAATTGATCGGCAACGAAACAACGTTAACTGGGACAACTTTAAGTGAGGAGTTACAATGAAATCCTAGCAGCATCTATGTAATCATTTCAACAGGAACTCAGACACATACAGCAACTCTTTTTCCCCGCCATCACTCTTACAGGAAGCATGCCCTCTGCCCTCCACACACACACACTTGCAGCATGCCAATTAAGGTCATTAAATTCAGGTTATTTCAGACCAAGAGAGCAAGTTCCACAGCCCTGACAGAGAACCTCTTTTATAATGAGCGGGATCCAGCTCAGGTGCTCCGGCTGGCTATAGTTGTGGTAATATAGCACAGGGAAAGAGGCGATCCTTCAGGTAGAATGTAAACCTAGGACTACAATGGATGAGTTCATAGTACTGAATTGGTTCTCTAATTGAACTACCAGAGGCAGAACGTCTGGCCTAAAGGTGAAAGTGACTTGACCCAAGCCCCAGAGGTTTCATGGAAGCGTTTGACCTATCTCCAGTATTTGCAGGAACAAAAACAAAGCCCAGATTTCTCAGATTAGAGGCAGGTCCCCCGGAACCTAACCTCATTGTGGTGGAATGAGCATATCTAAACCACAAATAAGGTCTAAAACAGTGAATTTATCTGTATGAAAACTATTATTAATAGGACAGCTGGTTTACTAGGTGATGGGAGAAAGGAGAAGAGAGGGAAGGTTCTCTCATGGATTGGTAACTGGTTAAAAGATAGGAAACAAAGAACAGGAATAAATGATCAGTTTTCAGAATGGAGAGAGGTAAATAGTGGTATCCCCAGGGATCTGTACTGGACAAGTCCTATTGAACATATTCATAAATGATCTGGAAAAAGGGGTAAACAGTGAGGTGGCAAAATTTGCAGATGATACTAAACTACCCAAGATAGCTAAGTCCCAGGCAGACTGCAAAAAGCTACAAAAGGATCTCACAAAACTGGGTGACTGGGCAACAAAATGGCAGATGAAATTTAATGTTGATAAATGCAAAGCAATGCACATTGCAAAACATAATCCTAACTATACATATACAATGATGGGGTCTAAATTACCTGTTACCACTCAAGAAAGATCTTGGAGTCATTGTGGATAGTTCTCTGAAATTATCCACTCAATGTGCAGAGGCAGTCAAAAAACCAAACAATGTTGGGAATCATCAAGAAAGGGATAGATAATAAGACAGAAAATATCATATTACCTCTATATAAATCCATGGTACACCCACACCTTGAATACTGCGTGCAGATGTGGTCGCCCCATCTCAAAAAAGATATACTGGAATTGGAAAAGGTTCAGAAAAGGGCAACA